CGTCTGTCTGTGCTCATAGACGAGTTTCGTGCAGGCTTCGACCCGTCACCAGACGAGCTCAAAATCTATAAATCTGTGAGTGTCAGAATAGACCCATCACTTTATTCAACTGTTATGTGGTTGTCAATGGATGAGCACAGTTGCAAAACCTCATTGGTCCAAAATCGGTCCTACTTGATATAGCTGTATATAAAACTTAAAATAAAAAAGACAACATTTTACACACAAACACAGATATATATGTGTGTATATATATATATATATATATATATATATATCATGTATACACATACATATAAAAAATACTATATTTTATAATAAATTTTAAATAATTTTCATATATTCAAATACAATATATTTTCATATTATTAAATAAATATTATAAAATATGTAATATTACAGTTTTATATCTAAAATATTAAATATAATATGTGTGTGTGTGTGTGTGTGTATAAATTATTATTATTTTTTGCTTCATAAATGAATATCCCATTCAATACCTGATCTGATCTGTTTGTCTTCTGCAGGATCTTCTCAGCCACATCGAGAAGGGCATGGGCAAGAACCTGGCCTTCCACTGTTCTGATGCCGTAAACGCCTCGGTTCAGTCGTCTCAGCAGGACATGATGGGTATGTGAGAACACCGTGACCTGCGTTTGATATTTAAACACCAGTAGGTGACACTCCTATTAATAGACAATGTCTGATAATGGGTGAAGTGTTGCTTAAGTGTGTTATCTGGCTCTCTGTAATACTCGATTGGTGCCAGTACGCTAAACCATAAAACCAATCGCTGTATGGACAGTTTTGCAATAGTATAGAGTGTGATAAATGAGTGTGTTTAGTTAAACTACCTGCTTATTGTGCTTCCAGAGTGTCTGAAGCCTCTGCTGCCCTCTGCTGTCCAGAGCCAGCTGCACATGCTCATTCCCTGCAGGAAGTTTGAGCTCAGCTACGACCTCAACTGTGCCACCCTTTGCTCAGACTTCCAGGAGAACATCGAGTTCCAGTTCTCTTTAGGCTGGACCGCGCTGGTCCACCGTTTCTTAGGTCCCGTCAACGCCAAACGTGCCTTGATGCTGGTGGATCAGAACCTGCTGGTACATCAGAAATCTGTGTTTCCACCGGGATACATGGAGATGCTGGTGTGAACTAGGCTTGCCGCGATAGACGGTGCTGACGGTGATACCGTTGTTAAGCCGCAACACCGGTTACGTCACTTCCTCACCGACCCCCACCGTCGTTTAGATTTTTTTAATAGTAATAAAAATTCGAAAGTGAAAGTAAAATGCGCACGGTGCTTTTAAGCTATTTAATAGCGTAGGAAAGCGAGGAAAAGACGGGAAATTCAAACGAACGAAAAACGAACAATTGCGCCGAATTGCCGCTATTTGAAAGTGAAAGTAAAATGCGCACGCATTTTGCAAGCTATTTAAAAGCGAGGAAAAGAGGGAACGCCCTGCCCCCATGGTGATACCGGTATTATCGGTGTTGTCACACGTCGATTAACCGGTGGAAAAATTTCCTCAACGTCACAACCCTAGTGTGAACTTGACATATTTTGGTATTGAATGGAATTTTATTGTGTTTGTCGTTGTTTTTTTACTCAGCTGATGTCACCGACCACCCCTTCGGCTCCAGCGGTGGTTCAGTCTCAGATCCCCAGAGCTCAAGGTCAGAATCAGCAATCTCTGGCACAGGAAGAACTCATGATGTCTATGGTGAACAACCTGGCCTCGGTCACCTCTCGCACGTCTATGAGTGTGATCATCGTTGGAGGAGTGGTGAGAATTATCGCCGTTTCTCCTCATTGATGCTTTAGAATCCCCTTTATTTTCTATAATAAATGTGACCATGGAGCACAAAACCAGTCATAAGGGTAAGTTTTTGGAAATTGAGATTTATACATAATCTGAAACTTGAATAAATAAGCACTCCATTGATGTATGGTTTGTTAGGATCGGACAATATTTGGCTGAGATACAACTATTTGAAAATCTGGAATCTGAGGGTGCAAAAAAATCTAAATATTGAGAAAATCATCTTTAAAGTTGTCCAAATGAAGTTCTTAGCAATGCATATTACTAATCAAAAATTAAGTTTTGATATATTTACGGTAGGAAGTTTACAAAATATCTTCATGGAACATGATCTTTACTTAATATCCTAATGATTTTTGGCATAAAAGAAAAATCAGTAATTTTGACCCATACAATGTAGTGTTGGCTATTGCTACAAATATACCCCAGCGACTTAACACTGCTTTTGTGCTCCAGGGTCACAAATGCGGTTGGTCACAGATGTCCTGTTCCTGTCTAATTGGGCCGTTCTTGGCCAGAATAAGCTGCAATGTGTTTGATTCATAAATTTTGAAATATTTGTTATGAAATCATTTGAGTGACTATTCCTTGTGTGAAGGTGCGGTCACATTAGCGAAATTCTGTGGGCAAAAATGTCCATTGTCTGTTATCAATAGTGTAGTAATATATGAAGTAACTTTCAAACCAAGCAGCTGGGTGAAATAAAGAAATAAATGACAAAAAAAGCCAAAATATTATATGCCATTGATGAATATTTACTGAATTATCTACTGTTTTGTTGATGGGGGCATTAAGATGCATCCAACTTTTGAAAGATGGATGCATCGTTATCTCGTCTTTACACAGAAATTGGTAGGTCTGTTAGTAAAATCTGTTGACTTTAGCAATGCTTGTTGCATTATATGCCAGTGGTGACCGTTCAAAAATGCCTGTAACTCAGTTGAACCATATAGGGCCTTAAAAATTAAGATTTCAAAAGAAAAGTTTGTTAAAAACCAACATCTAAAAGTTTAATATTTAATACTTCCTGAGTTACAGGCATGCAATCTTTGGGGAAAAAACGCAAAAAGTGCTTTTTCCCATTTTTGAACGGTCACCACTGGCATATAATGCAACAAGCATTGCTAAAGTTAACAGATTTTACTAATAGACCTACCAATCTCTGTGTGAAAATAAAATAACGATGCTGCCATATTTCTAAAGTCATTTTCCACCTCCTGTAATTTGGCTCCAAATCTCATTTTGACCCCCTCGACAAAATAGTGGATTACTCCGTAAATATCCATCCATGGCATTTAATATTTTGACTATTCGTGTTTGTCTTTCTTCATAAAAAATATTAACAATTTCAAAAATTGTAGCCAGGGAAGTTTCTGAAATTTGGTTGATTTGAGACAATGACCCAGCTGTGAATTTGCGATACCAACTTGGACCCGTTGCAAAACCTCCCAATTCCTAATCCCAAACCGCCCACAAAACTCCCCGAATGACGGTACATGTGACCTTAACTTCCCATGGGTTGGAAATGAATGCATTGTTATTGAAGTTCATCTCTGTTCCCTCTGTTAGGTGTGGCGAACAGTTGGCTGGCGTCTGATCGCTCTCTCCATGAGTCTGTATGGCATGCTGTACCTGTATGAAAAACTCACCTGGACCACCAAGGCCAAGGAAAGAGCCCTGAAGAAACAGTTTGTGGATTACGCCACCGAAAAACTTCAAATGATCATCAGTTTCACCAGCTCAAACTGCAGCCACCAAGTGCAGCAGTAAGTGTTTTTACATCAGAGTCGATTTGACATCAGGGTTTGGTCCGTAAGGAAGCTGTTTTCCAAATTTGGATGCATTTTGAGTCATTTTGAGATTAATACAGCATTAGGGAACTGCTATCAATGACGTTCACTGCAGCTGAAGAGCTGTTCTTTTCATGCAAGCCGTTCCTGTATGTTAAAAGTGTTCTTGTGTGTCTGATACAGGGAAATCGCCAGCACATTCGCCCGACTCTGCCAGCAAGTCGACATCACCCAGAAGGAACTGGAGAATGGCATCCAACGGCTCACCGACAAGATCCAGAAGCTGGAAACTGTACAGAAGCGATCCAAAGTGCTCAGGTCAGTGTCCGAGCCATCGTTAATGGCAATGGAGACTATTTAGACTCCGTATCCGGTTAACAAATGCATCCGGAGACTTCTGTATTTCTGTCAAGCTTTGAGTTGCACCTTAGAAAATGTGAGGTTTTCCACATCTCTAATATTGATCGTGTTGAGACGTTTGTAATAATAGCCACGTTTCCTTTCCTAGACATAAAGCCACGGCTCTGGAAAAGCAGTTGGAGGATTTCAGCTCCCAGTATCTTCGTCCTCAACCCTGATTCTGTTCACACGGATACACTGGCTCCTTCCAGAGAGTGATGTAACTCGTGAATACTGTACACCCTGCTGTTTAGGGAATTCTCGACTCACCAGATGTTGCAACGACTGCAGAGGGGGAAAATTGTACTTGTATTTAACTGTAAAATTTGTATTCTTGAATTAAAGCTGCTTTCAGTGCTGTATTATGGTTGAGTTTCACTGGAACTGAACTTGAAAACACTCCCCTATAATGCAAAACAAAGGAAAAAAAACATCTGGAATTTCGAAATGGAGTCAGTTTTGCTGTTCAGGTTCAGCATAATGGAGTAAAACTTTATTTCATTCTTATACCCAGCCTTTTTCTTCAGAAATAGAATTCATGTCATCAGACCGGGAATTCAGAGTTGTGTAGATTTGCCTTTTGATCACAAAGCCTGTTTTCTATGTTTCTTGAGAGTCTAACCCCAAATTCTCTTTATGAATTTTCTGTTATTTCTAAACATGTAAATGTGATATCCTGGAATCCCAATGTAAAAATTCCTCCTGTGTAATAAAAATATAATAAAATATTATTAACCCTCCTGTTATGTGCAAATTTCAACCATGTTTTTAATGTGTGGGGTCAAATTGACTCCAAATATTTAACTATATCAATAAATTACTAAAATTGACAATATAGTTTATTTTTATTTACTTACACTTTACCTACCCGATATTTTAAATACATTTTTAGGACAAAACATTATTATTTTTTTTTTTATATATATATATATATATATATATACGGTACATGTGACCTTAACTTCCCATGGGTTGGAAATGAATGCATTGTTATTGAAGTTCATCTCTGTTCCCTCTGTTAGGTGTGGCGAACAGTTGGCTGGCGTCTGATCGCTCTCTCCATGAGTCTGTATGGCATGCTGTACCTGTATGAAAAACTCACCTGGACCACCAAGGCCAAGGAAAGAGCCCTGAAGAAACAGTTTGTGGATTACGCCACCGAAAAACTTCAAATGATCATCAGTTTCACCAGCTCAAACTGCAGCCACCAAGTGCAGCAGTAAGTGTTTTTACATCAGAGTCGATTTGACATCAGGGTTTGGTCCGTAAGGAAGCTGTTTTCCAAATTTGGATGCATTTTGAGTCATTTTGAGATTAATACAGCATTAGGGAACTGCTATCAATGACGTTCACTGCAGCTGAAGAGCTGTTCTTTTCATGCAAGCCGTTCCTGTATGTTAAAAGTGTTCTTGTGTGTCTGATACAGGGAAATCGCCAGCACATTCGCCCGACTCTGCCAGCAAGTCGACATCACCCAGAAGGAACTGGAGAATGGCATCCAACGGCTCACCGACAAGATCCAGAAGCTGGAAACTGTACAGAAGCGATCCAAAGTGCTCAGGTCAGTGTCCGAGCCATCGTTAATGGCAATGGAGACTATTTAGACTCCGTATCCGGTTAACAAATGCATCCGGAGACTTCTGTATTTCTGTCAAGCTTTGAGTTGCACCTTAGAAAATGTGAGGTTTTCCACATCTCTAATATTGATCGTGTTGAGACGTTTGTAATAATAGCCACGTTTCCTTTCCTAGACATAAAGCCACGGCTCTGGAAAAGCAGTTGGAGGATTTCAGCTCCCAGTATCTTCGTCCTCAGCCCTGATTCTGCGTTCACACGGACGCTTGGCTCCTTCCAGAGAGTGATGTAACTCGTGAATACTGTACACCCTGCTGTTTAGGGAATTCTCGACTCACCAGATGTTGCAACGACTGCAGAGGGGGAAAATTGTACTTGTATTTAACTGTAAAATTTGTATTCTTGAATTAAAGCTGCTTTCAGTGCTGTATTATGGTTGAGTTTCACTGGAACTGAACTTGAAAACACTCCCCTATAATGCAAAACAAAGGAAAAAAAACATCTGGAATTTCGAAATGGAGTCAGTTTTGCTGTTCAGGTTCAGCATAATGGAGTAAAACTTTATTTCATTCTTATACCCAGCCTTTTTCTTCAGAAATAGAATTCATGTCATCAGACCGGGAATTCAGAGTTGTGTAGATTTGCCTTTTGATCACAAAGCCTGTTTTCTATGTTTCTTGAGAGTCTAACCCCAAATTCTCTTTATGAATTTTCTGTTATTTCTAAACATGTAAATGTGATATCCTGGAATCCCAATGTAAAAATTCCTCCTGTGTAATAAAAATATAATAAAATATTATTAACCCTCCTGTTATGTGCAAATTTCAACCATGTTTTTAATGTGTGGGGTCAAATTGACTCCAAATATTTAACTATATCAATAAATTACTAAAATTGACAATATAGTTTATTTTTATTTACTTACACTTTACCTACCCGATATTTTAAATACATTTTTAGGACAAAACATTATTATTTTTTTTTTTATATATATATATATATATATATATTTTATTGCTTCATTTACATAGAAAAAAACATTGTCCAGTTTATGAGATTTGTTCCTCTAAGTAACACACATCATCCAAATATTGCCCTAACACCTCATTTTTCTTTAGACACAGAATAACAGTCAAATGTCCCCACAAGGACAGTAAAACCTGAAAATTTTGGGAAAGATTGTGGGAACATTTAGTTGGCCTCATGAGGAAAATGGCTTTGTTTTTTTTGGAAATGTAAAAATGCAAAGTTTTGTGTGAGAGGTAGGGTTAGGGGAATGAAAATACAGTTAGTACAGTAAAATTATGTCTAATGGAAAGTCCCCATATAATATGGAAACCCAACAACAATCATTTTTGATAGATGCTTGTACAGTTTTGAAAATGTGTATAGTGTTTATAAACATTATTGTATGAAATAGTCGATAAAGGTATATGAAACGGACAAAAATTGGCCTTCATATGCAGTACATTAATAGTAAAATGTATGCCAAGGCATAAATTATATTTACTTTAAAAATGTAATTATATTTTCAAGTCAAAGTTGCTTTGTGGTCAATTTGACCCCAGACATCACAGGAGGGTTAAATTGTTTTATTGCTGCGTTAAACAAACGCTACATTTCTGATGTTTAGATATTACACTATTAATCCCAGGAAAGAAATTCTACAGATGGAGGTTATTGACAGACAGAGACGCAACAAACTGCTCACCTTTCTGAATCCAAAATGTGCGACTTTTTTGACAGGTTTGAAGACAAGACAAGTCGTCCTTAGGTTTATCTTCAAATAATGTTTTATGCAGGGTAATCTTATTTACGCATAAACCTTGTCAGTTGACGTTCGCGCGCCGGGATTCTGAGAGGAAGTGGCGCGAATTTCTGAGGTAAGTTCTCGCGACAGTTATATCACAGATTTTAGGCAGATTTTAAAATTAACATATAATAATGACAAAATAATATTAAGCTGCAGGTTATTTACAAGTAAGACGAAAGAAAAACAGGACGAGCGAGCGTTGGATCGTCGGATATGAATCGGGTAAGTGACGCTGTGGACGGAAGTGCGTGCTTTTCGCTTCTCTCGTTCGTTTACTTAATATAAAGTTTATGATAAAGTTTACTTTTAAGTGAAAACGCCTATGAAAAACCAATTACAATTGATGAAATGTTTTGTTTTGAGTTGAAAACGGCATGTAATATAACTTTCCCTAGATATCTAGCCCAAACATCCATATTTAAATATAACTGCACAAGTTTAAAAGACAATCAAACCGAACACATCTTAGGATATGGTTAAAAGTCTTTTTATTGGTTACAATATCAGTGTATGGCAGCATTAACACCATGTTACTTTACAAATACCAAAAAAAAAAAAAAAAAAAAAGTTGAGAAACAAAACATTAAAAATGATTATTTGAAAATATGGGCACTGTGAAAGTACACGAGGCAAAACACTCCTGGTTGTATTGGCTCAAAACAAAAATAAAGAAAATAAATGGATTATTAAGCTTACAAATCGAGCCAAAAGTATATTATGAATACTTAAAACACTGGGGTTCTAACATGTAATGTACTACTAAAATGCTCTTTCATTGCGGAGTTTGAGTGGTTTGGAAATAATGCGTACAAACAAAACTAAACGCATTTGGAAAAGTCATCCATGGTATTCATTAAAGCTCTAAAACATCAGCATTTCAGCCACTCTTATGGCAGCTATACGTTAAAACTGCCGATTTCAGCGGATCCAGAACCAACCAACTCAAATCTTCAACATGATCGTAATAAAACAACCACAAAAAGAATCACTGAGCGGCAATCTTGCAACCTCTACATTACCAACAATAGAAATCTGACTCAAATCTAACCAATACGAATAACACCAGCAAAAATCCTGTTTAAATTGAATTCTAAATGCGACATTATTACCAAAGACATCCCTTTTCACAGTTAATCATCATAAAACTCGGCATAAAACAAACTAAAATCAATTCCTTTATGGAGCAGTGAAAGGGTTTTTATTCATGCTAAAAAGCACTGTAAAAGGACTTCTTGCAGAAAAAAATACGCGTTTTAATAATTTCAAGCTGCTTTCCGATTCCCTTTAATATAAAAAGGCAAAGTATTTTAAATGCTTTTCACAGTTATATGAGGTGTTAAGAGCGTTAACAATATCACTGTTTTAATCAGGCTTATTAAACTGGGTCTCAAACCAGCATTAATCTGGCAACCGCAACAAACACAGGCATACTGTCGGAACATAAATATGGCGAAAGTGAGTAAACGGCTTCATCGCTCTGATCTACGATTTTCGATTCATTGAAAAATTAAGCCAAATATAGTGACTCGGTGAGCAGTTTAACCATCCTGACCAGATAGTGTTCTTCATTTCCACCTGTTTGCACACATTTACAAGCTGAAACTCTCAAATGACGCTTAATGAACACCAAAAAAAAGTATATATACTGTTTTCAATACGTTACATCTTTATAACACTGCAACACTTCAATTTAAGAGGAGGGTTTGTGGCCATTTCTAATAAAAAAAATAAAATAAAATATTAAAGCGAGTGTTATGAATTCATTCAAAGCACAGATTCTTTGTAAGCACCAAGAATAGGAATTTATATACTAGGATTAGTTCTGTTTTGATCACTAGTATTTAAGGCTTAAGTTCAAGGGCAGATCGATCATGAATTTTGTTATCAAATTAAAAACAAGGCGTCAAAATGCTTCGAATTAAACATTCGATCTCAAAGCTGTGAGAAAATTCAGTGCCTTCTTTCCAAACACCCTCAAGCACCAATAAATGATTGATTTAGTGGCGTGTAAAAAAAACAAAACAAAAACAAAACAAAGTTTAGAGGTCATCTGCATAAAAACACAATGTGTTTTATGCTTTTGTTTTCCAATGCACGAAAACCTCACATAAAATTTTTGTAATACAGCTTGTTTGCAACGTTCCATTTTAGTTTAGCGTTGTTTTCTATGTACAACAAACAAACAACAAAATACAAAAAAAGTGAAAGATTAATAAAAATGTCATGGGCCAATGATCAACTAGAAAAATATATACATGAACACTATGTATGTATATACCATATGGTATATACATACACATAATGCTGTACATATATACCATATCTATATTCATATACATGTATATTTACATATTACACAATGACACTTTAATAATCTCTTCCTATAATTCCTGTGGCCGGCAGTGATGATCGGCTTCTCCACGGGATGGAACTACATACTGAAAATCATGTGTAATAACTGGAATACAGAGGAACTGCTGTGGAAAGACGTAGGAATGGGACCGGAGGAAAATGGAAATTTTAATACCATTCTCAGTTCCAGATCCGAAGGAAACTGTCCCATGATCCCGTGGCCACAGCCATCCCGTCATCAGGTACTCCTAAACAGCTCACTCTGTTGTCATGACCGGCCAGGACACCTGGAGAAAGAGAGAGGGATCGATACAGGTTATCATAATGCAAAGAAGAAAAAAAAAAAGAAAAAATAACGACAACAAAACATATAAATAAATAAATAAAAAATATGCACGCAAATGCTAATAAATTAATAAAACAAACAATAATCAAAAAAGAAAAAGCTGAAATAAAAATACAGTAAAAATAACATTTACAAAATTATAAAATAATCAAATAAAAATTACAAGCAAAAAAATTTAAAATTAAAATTAAAATAAACTTACAATAAAAAATATAAAAATAAAATAAATAATAAAAAAAATCATCAAAAATAAAAAAAAATAAAAA